GCCTCCCGACCGCCCCTTCTCACCATCCGACCTATTACCAAGGATCCGATGCTTCATACTCTTCTCACGTGACTCCTCCTGCCAGCTACCCATCAGCTTCCCAATATCATTCAAACGGTAGAGAGGGGACGGCCTCAGAACCTCAACCTACAGCAGCTCCAGCCAAGTCGTTCCATTATGACAGCAACTACCAGCCACCTCCTGAGAAAATTGCTGAGGCACACAAGGCTGCGAGGTTTGCAGTAGGGGCTCTGGCATTTGATGATGTTTCAGTTGCAGTAGAACACTTGAAGAAATCACTGGAATTGTTGACTAACCCTTCAGCCGGTCTGTGATATTCTGCTTTTCTGCTGGACCGACTAATGTGTGGATTTCTTCTGCTATCATACCAGGTTTGATAATGTAAATTTTAATACATTTGTGCCCGAGAAAATAGATTGATCGTAAATGTTATTGAGAAAGTTTCATGATGTTCGTTTTCATAATTCCTTCTGAGGTATCTGTTACTCCTATAGTTGAAGCAATATTCATTTAAGAATGTCCAACTCTATGTTGGTGGTTGAATATGAGTTTAGATTGCATGAAGAAATAAATGATAGAAACTGAAATTCCTGGGATCTGTGTTTAGTAATTGGGTTTATGTTTTATAGAAGTTAGAATATAGGGTTTGGTAATCATACACTATTTCTAGAAGTTTGAGTATTCAAGTGTTTGAGTTTAGGAGTTGAGGATTATCATTTTTAGGGGATTAGGAGTTAGGGGTCAGGTTTTTAGGGTTTATGGAACCGACGGAAGAGAAACACGCTACTTGAGGCAAAATCTCGTAATTTCTTTCCCGTGCTTCATGTTGTTCAATGTCGTAAATTGCCTTTAAACTTTTCATCATCAATGTAAGTTCGTACACCATTCGTTGGCGAGGATCATAGTTGAGAAATGCTCATTGTGCCTAGATTCATTGTGTTGTCTTCGTGATCTCGATTATAATGTCGTTGTTGCGTTGATTAGTCTATTGTGTTCTACATCACCGACTGTCTTGTATATGGATCAGGGTTAGTAAATGTCTTCTACTTCAACCACAATTTGATTGTGTTCTATATCTCACGGATTCATCGTGTTGTCTTAATAAATGCGCTTTGGTTAGATTGTCACAACATAATTATAGTAGTCTATCATCGTCCACCTCACTATTGTTTTAGTTGGAAGTCTCGAAGGATTAATCGGAACAGCAACACATTGGCACAAGAGCTTTTTATCATAGTTACTATTTGGAAGAGCGTGGTTGGTTTACACAATGCTGCAAAAAGATTAGTGCATGACAAGGTATACTTCGACTTTGATTTTATTTATAATAAATAACACAGAATGTTAAATAAACTTAAAGTTCAATAAATATGGAGAAAGGTCTGACAAATTTTTAATCTCCATTCTTCGAATTATCTAAGGACGTTGAGATAATGTTTGCTAAATTTAATATATTTGAGTATCTAATATATTAAGATATAATATTTTATCTAGATCATATTAGATATTAAATTTCAAATATACAATATATTTTTCTTTTTTATATTAATATATTAAATATTAATTTAAACCCTTCAAATTAAATACATTTTTTACTTTTTCTATTTAATATTTAATATTTAATATATCTAATATATTCGATATTAATTTAGACCTAAGAATAAATATATTTTTCTTTTAATTTTTTTAATATATTAAAAATTATTTTGAATTCTTCCCGTTAAATATATTTTATATTAATATATTAAGTATTAATTAATGATGATTTTAGTTACTATAAGCTAGAAAAAAAATTAGACTTACTTGTTATAAGCTCCAATGATACAACTTTAATGGATCAATTTTTATGCAATTGTACAAGTACAAGTTGTATCCATAGATATAATCACTACAAATAAGTTGATCGTTCATGAATTCATAATTACAGTCGAGTCAAAAATTAATTTTAACCTTATAATTATATCTTACCAAGCCTCTTTCAGGGTAGTGAGAGTGGGTCCCACTTTTCAGCCTCGAAATCAACATTCAAAGGAACTACTCATCAATTGAAAAATATTTCATATTTATGACACCATTTTGTGTATTTTTATATAACTCGAGTGGCTAGTTGTGAATATTCAATTGCTAATCATGAGAAAAATGTTATAGCTACTATTTTATTTGTCTTGTTGAACGTGATCGTGTTTAGAAGCTAAACTCGAGGACATGAGAATGTAATCTTAACCATTTTCAGTATTTTGAACTGTCCACAGTATAAGGTTGGGAATGACGATTTCAACGACTTTTCAATCACTCAAATCAGAGCTAAAACGAATAAATTACAGTCGAGACAACATATCCGACGTGATGATGTGGCAGCTAAATTAAAATGATTGACAAATCAAAGTATGACATTTTTTTTATTATTATATTCTTAAATAAAATTATTTATACATAATATAAATTTGAATCTAACGGTTACTTACATCGATTTCATTATTACTATATTACAATATTATATTATTATATTTTAAAATTGCGGTGATTACTCACATCATCTTTATTATTATTATATTTATAATAAATTTGGAAATTTTAACTTAACTGTGTGCTTTATTATTATTATATTATTATATATAAAATAAATTTTGAATTTGTCACGGTTTTTATTATTTTTATATTATATTATTATTATATTATATTTTAAAAAATATTAATTCCTACCTTTTACCACCTTTCTTCTCTATTTAAACTCATCTACCTCCCCATATTTTTTACCCACAACTTTCATAATTCATCATCTTTAATTTTCTAAAGCTTCATCGTTGCTCTCTTCAAGCTTTCAATTTTATTTATTTTTATTTTATTATTAAGATAAATTTTTTTATTGTATTGTGAGGAAATAGTTGTGAATACTCCGAATTGTAAATCGAGAGAGTTGTGATGTGTTACTACCAAATTCAAATACTTGTACCGATTTTATCCTACGCCGTGAAAAGGATTGAGTTTGCTCTTGAACTCGTAAAAATAGCAGTACAACGGTTTGGCTCTGATCTGTGGAAAGAGTCAAGAAAGTTCTTTATTCAAATTCCCAAGAGGCGCTCGGAGGGTGGAGTAGGTCGGGTTTGACCGAACCACTATAAAACTATGGTGTCATATTTTATAACTCTTTCCTATTTAATTTCAAAATTATTATTGTGATTTATTGCATGTTCTAGTTGATTATTGTTTTGAATTGAATTATTTTGTTCGAGTAATTATCATCTTCTATTTATTTGTAAAAAGTTTCATGAAAAATTAATTACATTTAAATACTTTTATTGTTAAAACCCTATTCACCCCTCTAGGGTTGCCATATCGATCCAATATAGATAACTCAAAATTAAGTAAGAATAGAAGAGTCGGGCCAAGAACTATGAGTTAAAGACTTAAACCTAGACGTTTTGCTCGAAAACTATAAGTTATGGAATTAACCTACTAAACGGTATCAATTGTGTATGAAATTTGAATGGATGACTTTATACTATTTATTAAGGATGTATGACCAAAATGCCCCTTCAGTGTCCTTAAGATATTTCATAGCCTAAATGGACCGAGATGACTTGAAAATTTATACCCGACCTATTTTTAAGGTTATGAATGACTATGGTTTAGGTTCTAGAACCAAAACTAAACCTCCCAACCTATTATTCATGGATGAACCTATCTAGCCTTACTTGGTTCTAAACTTTAGAAAGAGTGTCTTGATACCTTTGGACAATCCTGAACCATTCCTTACTGGCTGGATTTCACCCAAGAATTATGGAAAACGATTCTTGGACAGGCTCTCATAAGTTGTAGGTCCTACGTTTAGGAGTGGAGCTAACCTTCGCAACCTAACATGCATCTAACAAACTTAACATGACTCGTGGCTCATTGTATTTTATAAGGCTTTAAAAGCCTAGGAATGACCCTAACATCATATGCAGGTAGCCTAATCTAGCTAGCTAATCTAGCAGATAGTCGTCTTACACAATAGAATAATCGGTGGATCACAATCTCCCGAACTGTAGTCTAACCATCACAACTCGTATATTCTTTGGCTAATCATGCGTATAATTAGATATTAGCTCACTTCTGAATTAAACATTATTGATCAACTCAATCTTCAGGATATACTTGCATAAAAGATCTGAAATGACTACCTACAGTGCTTGGGATGTTTGGAGTTTCGATTTTTCTATTCTTCAAGCTTAAATTTGCCCGAGCTCCTCAATTAGACACCAATTTGAGTCAAAAGAAGAATACTAATGAAAATGGCTCGAAAATTAGACATCGAGAGGTTGAAATATCAAGAACATGGTAAAAAAGACTAACCATTGACCATGATTAGTGTCTTCCTCACTTGTGTGCTACCCTTTGAAAAGTTTCCAAATTTTCGGTCGTTCAATCTCATTTTTTTCTTGAAATTCGTAATTTGATTCAACTTAGTTCCTTTATATCCAAGAATTCAATGGAACAATTTCGTCCCTTGATATCTTCCAACCATCCTTCGCCTCGAGCTCTTCATTAATCGAATGAGTCCTCCTTCCAAAATTTATTTTTCCTCTTTCACACCCAATTCGACCCTATATCTTTTAGGTTTAGGGCATGACTTTGATACCATGTTAGACGAACACGACTTTTCACAATGGTATGATATTGTCCACTTCGAGCATAAGCTCTCATGATTTTGATTTCGGCTTCGTACCAATGGAGAGAGTATTCCTTGATTATACACCCATGATCATTCTCTAAATTGGCCGAGGTGTGACTTTCATCGTCCAACAAGTATGAGCGTAATAAAATAAAATATATTTAAGTTCGTTGTATTAACTTTAGAATGCCCAAATTTTCATTTTTTTTTTGGTCAAATATAAATTCAATGTGTCTCTCCACATACGACAAAAACAACCCTATTTTCCCTAAATATTTTGAAAAGAACCATTTTTCATTTTTTTTTCTTTTAAATTAAATTACAATTTTCATCTGATTAACCCCCTTCTTCCGCCTACCTACGGCCTGATTTTTCCTCTCCTGGCTTTATTCCCCCATGGCCGAACCCATGGAGGAAACCACGGTTGTTGATGGCGAACCCACTCTACCCACCGGCGAGAAGAGGTCAATTGAGATTCACGGGGACGATGAACTTGCGGAGCCTCAGTTGAGAAAGAAGCCCCGTAATGGTTGCGAGTTGGGTCCTAATCTCCGGAGGGTTGCGGAGATTGTGTTGGTCATGTCCACAATGACGGCGCTGCGTGCTGGAAAGAAGCCTACTGATGCCGAGGTTGAATTAATGGCTGAGGCTAGGGCTAAGTTGGTTCAGATTTGTGAAGGATTGGCTCCCAAGGATATTGTGGGAAGGGAAGGAATTAGTTCTTTGATTGAAGATTTGGGGCTGCATGGTAACATTAGGGATCAGAAGTTAGGGTTTCGCGGTCCCAGGTTGACGATAGCGGAGAAATTAGCGCAGACAAAGAAGAAGGTATGTTAATGCCTTTAATTTTACCTACTTTTGTTATCTCTTGACTGTCTGCGGAGGGCAGCGTGGGTTCTTCATCATTTGTGACCGATACTATTTGATGCTCGATTGTAGATAATACTTCGTGAAGTCTGTTTAATGCTACTCTGCTTGACTGTTAGTTATGTTCAAACTTGTTTGAATAAAACCTGGAGGAGGAGACTATATAGGCATTCTTGTCTTCATTTGCTTACTGATAGCGTAAAAATCTTCAATTCTTCCGCGAAAAGATACAAAAGGATGTAGTTATCCAGTCTGCTTCCGAGTTCTCTGATTCATTAGTCCCTTGGAGATGCATTAGTTTTCTCGCGGAAATCTATGGACACCGTGGGGTAGGGTATTGGTTGCTAATAGTTAACCACAGTATTTCTTTTTAGTGGAAGAACCACACACCTTTTCATTGACTGAAATGAAAGATTTCAGAGAAGAAGCGAGCAAATGATCGCCAAAAAAGTGCTTGAATTTGTTTAGTGTTGTAAGTAGGTTAGTTGTAAAAAAAGAAATCTTAGCCCTCCAAATAGGTTGAGTATTTTCCTTGTAGTCTAGAAAAATCTATTGTTTCTTTCTTTCCATAATTTCTGAACCCCTGATATGAGGGCAGTCTCCATTGATGTTGTGTTCATCTGAGTGTTGCACTGAAAGCCAAAAGGAATATACTTATCTTAAAAAACCCTGCTATTTCTTTCCTTCCAATGACACCAAAGAAGGGAGCAAGTTGAATATCCCCAAAGGTTCTTTTCCTTCTGCCAAAAATCTTTCCATCGACCGCTTCTAAAAACCCATCATCAATATCCTCGAGGAGACAACATTCGACCCCCAAAATATTAAAGAAAAACCACCCTTCAACAGCAAATTGACAGTGAAGAAACATATGATCTAAGGACTCTTCCTCTCAAAGGCGGAGACAATAGATCGAGGGAGACGTCACATAGTTTTGAAGCATTTGAAGATTTTTGTTTAAACTTCGCAGGCTAGGGACCATAAAAAAACCTATCACCTTCTTAGGGGTCATGTATTTCCAGATGAGATTCACCATAGAAGAATTCAATTTCCTTGTCCCAATGATCAGCTTCAAGAATGTATTTGTAAGTAGACTTGAAAATATAGTAAAAGGAGCATTTGTGCTTTCTTTAGCCAATGACTAAGTTTCTTTGCAATTCTATGTAGTTTAGGTTGTATGTAGAATCATTCAAGCTCGACATGATCAATCTTGCTTGTGGAGTGATTCGAATCTCAAACAAGTGTTCTTGCGTTGAGATATTTGATCAACAAGAATCATTCAAGCTAGACATGATCGATCTCAAACAAGTGTTCTTGCGTTGAGATATTTGATCAACAAGAATCATTCAAGCTAGACATGATCGATCTTGAACAAGTGTTCTTGCGTTGAGATATTTGATCAACAAGAATCATTCAAGCTAGACATGATCGATCTTGTACAAGTGTTCTTGCGTTGAGATATTTGATCAACAAGAATCATTCAAGCTAGACATGATCGATCTTGTTTGTGTGTTCTTGCGTTGAGATATTTGATCAACAAGAATCATTCAAGCTAGACATGATCGATCTTGTTTGTGGAGTGATTCGAATCTCAAACAATGTTCTTGCCTTGAGATATTCGATCAACAAGGTAATTCGAATCTTACTCCCCTTGTAGTGATTTCCACATATCATTTGGTATTAGAGTTTAAAATTCGAATCTCAATATCGGATATATGTTTCCTTTGCGTTTCTTCTCAATTTGATTTTTATTTATTTTTATCTTTTTAGTTTTTAATCGACCCCGAGTTTAAAATTCAATCTTTTCTCTATTTAAAATTTTGAGAGGTGAGAATGAGAACTTCATGTGTAAATGAGTGCAAATAGAGTGACCTAAAATACCTTGAGCGTATACACGTGAGAGAGTGTTGTGAGGTTCTTTGTATTTCCATAAGTTATTTTTGCAGCAAAGTTTCACAAATAAGATTTGAGGACGAATCCTCTTGAAGAAGTGGAGAATGATATGGAAGAAGCGGAGAATGATATGAACCAAGAGACATCAATCATACAATATATTTCAATGAAGATGCGAAGAAAATGCTATTGAAATTATCAAAAGATATTTCAATTCATGCCACATTGAAAAAGATTGAAGTTTCATTGTTATAAATTTTGGGTGGATTACAATTTAGAGTAATTTAGAGTTATTGTATTTCATTAATGTAGTTTAAGACATTTTATTTACTTTAGGTTACATTTACATCCTGGTTAATTATGACCATAAACTATGAATGTTACAACTCTTGGAATGCCTTTAATAGTTTCATTGGCTATATAAAGCCATGTATGTAGACTTGAAAATATAGTAAAAGGAGCATTTGTGCTTTCTTTAACCAATGGCTAAGTTTATTTGCAATTCTATGTAGTTTAGGTTGCATGTAGAATCATTCAAGCTCGACATGATCAATCTTGCTTGTGGAGTGATTCGAATCTCAAACAAGTGTTCTTGCGTTGAGATATTTGATCAACAAGAATCATTCAAGCTAGACATGATCGATCTTGCTTGTGGAGTGATTCGAATCTCAAACAAGTGTTCTTGCGTTGAGATATTTGATCAACAAGAATCATTCAAGTTAGACATGATTGATCTTGCTTGTAGAGTGATTCAAATCTCAAACAATGTTCTTGCCTTGAGATATTCGATCAACAAGGTAATCCGAATCTTACTCCCCTTGTAGTGATTTCCACATATCAGTTGCTCTTAGGGAGAAGACTTGCGCTAATTCAATCTGTGTTAGGAGGGATCCTTAACTATTTCTTGTCGATATTTAGGATTCCACTCTTGGTAAGTAAGTCCATTGAAAGAGTGGTGAGAATTTCTTTTAGGAAAGAGTTGATTGGGGGAGAATCCTACTTGGTCAAGCGGGAGGTGGTCATGAAGCTAGTGGATCTAGGAGAATTAGGCTAGTGGATCTAGGAGAATTAGGCACTGGGAGCTTGAGGTTACAAGTTTTACCTGAGAGTGAATTCCTTGGATTGTGTCCAAAGACTTCCTTCATTTTGTATTTGGAATGGTGCATTCTTTGCCAGAGGCGTGAGGAAGACCTCAATCATTTGATACGAAGTTTCCAATGTTCTCAGTTTCTTGGGACCATTGAAGAACCTCATTTGGTATGTGTGGAGTATGGGATAGGGATGGTAGCTTGTTGTGGAAGAGATGCTTTTGGAATGAGTGTTTAAGGAAAAGGACTAAGTCCTTGGCAAGCTAGCTCTTTTGCTGTTTGTATTTGGTTAGAAGTAAAGAATAGAATCTTTAGAGAGGTTGAGAAATATGGTGAGTTTGAGAGGTGATTAGGGTTAATGCTTCTGTTTGGACTTCGGTTGCTAGACCTTTTTGTAATTATTATCTTAGTCTTCTTCTTTTGTATTGGAATTCTTTTCTATAGTTGTTTTGGGCTCCTTGTTTTGGGTTTGTTTTTTGTATGCCCTTGTATTACTTCAATTTTTTGAATGAAAGCTTGATTTCTTATAAAAGAATAGAAATATTTCCATTAATTGTGCACCTAGTATTGAGAAAGGAATGTCTTTGGGTATGTGGATTAGTTGTTGGGGTGGGTAGTTTTCTTTGTAAGATACAAGAGAGTTGCTCCCAAGCTTCTAAATAGGTAACTCTTCCTTGGACCTTTCTTCATCTAGTTGTTCATTAATAGGGGCATCCATTATCGCCAGGGTCTTTCTTTGAGGACACTCATTAGAAAGGTTTGGCTTACTGGCCCCACCTAAACACTTGGCAAAAGTGATGCGGTTGTAGAACCTTTTGGTCCTCTTGTTGTTGGTTCCTAAAGTGCCTTTTGCCCCTATCCTATTATTTGGTGTATCATCGATTCTTCCTTGCTTTTTTTCATGGTTACAAGGAACTGCTCATTTGAAAACTCCTTTGAGCATCTGTTGTGTTCCTTTTGAAGTCATGTTGTGCTTGTCCACTGTTATTCTAGTCGTTGAGCTCCTAATCTCTGTAGCTAATTTGATACCATCTGCTAGGTAGTAGATCAGATGTAGAATCACCTTTTTCCTATGTCATCTTGTAGTCCATCCGCATATCTAGCTATTTGGTGGTTTTCTAACTCACCAAGAATGTTAGGGCACTCAATCTATTGAATTCCTCTAAATAGTCCGTAACTAGTTTAGTTCCTTGGATGCAATGTTGGTATTGACCGTACAACATTTGCTCGTAATTTATCTGCAAGAACGGTTCATTAGTTTGAGCATCTTTGGCCAAGTCCTTATGGACCACTTTCCATATCTCCTTCTATTGGTTTGAATTTTATCCCACCATGCAGGTTCTTCCTCCAATTTACTTTCTAGCTTTACTTTCTTTTTTATCGGGTGTGCCAGCGCAGTTAAGGAAGGATTGGATTTACTCCCAAATAGTACAACAATGTTAGATGAGTGATTGTTGGTTATAAACTTGTTTTTAAGAAGATAAAATTAATTTGCGTGTTGCTCCTTCTCCCCTTCTGTTATTTTCTTTCAAAAGGGAACGCAGCGGCCACAACAAAGAAAATAGAGGTTGTGGACATGGTTACAGTCATGGCCACGGACGTGGTGGCAGAGGAGGCTGTCAAGAGAGGCTTCCATGTCAATTTTCCATTAAAAGTTGGGAGTTCCACCTTCACTTTATAATCGTTGCTTCCTTCATTTTGCCACTCTTTTCTCCTTGTATGGGGTAAATGTAAGTCATAAACAAAGTGTTGGAAAGGCCTATCCTCCTCCCTTGAGTTGTCTAATTGTTGGAACCTTGGATTTTTGAAGCATGTATCTGGAGGTCTGAATGGCAGGGTAGCATTTCTTGGGTACTTGTGGTGCAACCTTCTTGTTTGTTCTTGGGGTGGTTCACAACAAGCAATAGGGTGATGAGTATTCGTGTCATTCTTTATTCCTTGGTTAAGCATGTTAGGTCTTTGGAGGGTTAATTGTTCCATTTGTCGCGCCATGGTTCCCATCATTTGGTACATCATCAATATGACTTTTCATCTCATCCACTGATTCTTCCATTTGCAAGATGCATTGGTTGAGAGATTTTGGAAAGAGGCAGAAGGTTTCCAATCTGGGACGATCTTTGTCATTACTAGAGGTCACGGGGTGCTTCTTCCCTGCCATTGGGTTTCTTCGTCAAGGGCACTCTGATACGAAACCCATGCGGCCGTGAGTATTCTTTAGAGTTTTTATGAAAGAATGTCTTGTACAGCTTAGTGAATATTTATAGGTTCCAAAAGGATTTGAGTTAGCTCCCAACAGCCATAACAACTCCCTAACAACCTCTGCAACTAACTTTAACATCAATTGGACCCACCTAATCAATGGTAAAAGTAAAAGCAATCTGAAGACAGCAGTTAACAGCCAACTAATCGACGAAAACAGAACATAGACTGCATCAGTTGGCATACTGATGCTCTGGGATCCTTTGTTTTCTTGTCCTTCTCCACTATCTTGACATAACTATCATGTCCCCTAGACCCCTACTATACAGAGAAGTTTGATCCTAAAAACGATCTCTTATCTATTGCAACTTAGTCACATGAGCACTAATCCCTACAGTTTTATGGAAAGGTGGTACCTTTCCCTTGCTCTAGCTTCAGATTGGTGTGTCATATGCAAGGGATTGAGTCCCAAGGTTACGTGTTTTCTTATTTGTCCTTCTGTATTCAGGTTTGAGCATACTCTCCCCCTTCAAATGGCACATCGTGTCATTATTTCATTGAGAAAAAGAATATCCTTTGCCTTTAATTTAATACTTCGTATATTTTTCTCTTAAAAAAATTACTACTTATATTTGGAGTCTGGCTTGAAAGTAACAACAAAGATTTTAACCGCTTATAGAGGACTTGGACACTTTTCTAGATATAACTTCTTTTGTAGCTCTCTCTTCCTTGAAATTTATATGCTTCCTTCCGTAGCTAGTTTAAATATTCTTTTTGCTAATTAGAAGAGCTTTTCATAATCTTCTTTGACATGGAGTTTAACTTTTATTCTTTTGTGTAACTTCATATAATCTACGTAATTGTTTGGCATGTTAGTGAATAAAATATATATTCTAATAATATCTCCAAGAATGTGAATGATCTTTTCAAGAAAATTTTGATTCTTGCTTTCTCATCTAGATGGAAGATTCCAAGAAATATATCCCACCTTCGGGTTATGGATCTCATCCAACCCAAAAACATATTATTTCATCGATTGAGAACCGTGGGCCATTGCCTTCTGTACGGATGTTTCCCTCAGACAAATCAAGTCCTGTCCCTAATTCAGTGGGAGGCACTGCCGGTACTCTGCCTTCAGGTCATGTTTCTGTTGCTGGTTCTACGTCCATGCAGGTTCAACCGCAACTAACAGGCAATGAAGTCAGAGCTCATAATATTTCAAGTGGATTTCCAATTAATCAACAAGGAAGGGACCCTTCCTCACTCTTGCATGGCATTGAAAGACCACTAAATGGGACATATGGATCTCAAATGCAAGGTATTCTTTTTTTTTTTTCTTTTTATATATATGCTTTTGGCAAACGATGGAAAAGTTCAATGATGTATACAACTAGCAACTAATATTATCCATTGATTTTTGTTGAAGTCTTTTTCTTCCCTTTTTATCTATGCAATTTTTCTTGTGATGGATATGGGGCGACTTTTTATTTATATTTTCATCTCCTTTATGAAAGTTTAGTTCATCATAAAAGAAAATATCAATTATATTGCGTATAATTTTTTCCCAATTAAATTTAATTTGTGTTGGAGAAACCAGAAGTGATTCAGTGGACAAGATCTATTCCAATAAAATGCTTCAGGCTAAAATACTCTGTAAGATTGACATCACTGATACGGTATTGCCTGTGAGTGTAAGAGCACCCTCCTGTAATTTTTTAATTGAACTCAAGTTACCTTTCATTTGATGTTTTCAGTATTTTGATTATATTTTATTTGAGCGAGAGTGACCATAAAACACGATCAGGGGGATAGTTAAGTTAAAGTCTTTGCACACAATTTGTTGTTTTTCAGATTTATTACGTTTTTGTATGTATTGGTACTTTTCAGTTAACTCTTCCGTAAATCACTCTCTGGCGAGTGCTCCTACCTGGTCTGCTCAAACTCAATCTGCCTTGTCGGCTAAAGGTGGGCCAGAACACAAGTTTCCAAATCATTCTGCTGCTAATGCTCAGGGAACCACAGATTCAAGAGCCTTAAGATCGTCTTCTCAAGCAGCAAGGGACCAAAGCTTTAGACCTCCAATTCCTCAAACTGGGACAGGAAATATGGCTGGTTTGCAGCCGCATTTACAGAGCATAAATTTTGTGCAAGGGCCTTCAGTTTCTAATAGCCACAATGAAATTGTCAAAATTATTCAGAAGCTGTTACAGCCACAGCTTCCTGATCATCCTACTTGGAATCCTCCTTCAAGAGATTACATGAACAAGGCTGTGACTTGCCAAACTTGTCAAGTTACCATCAATGAGATTGATAGTGTACTTATATGTGATGCTTGTGAGAAAGGATTTCACTTGAAATGTGTACAGTCACCTAATCAGAGAGCGATTCCTAGGGGGGAGTGGCACTGCCCAAGATGCTTAACTATAAGCAATGGGAAGCCTTTACCTCCTAAATACGGGCGTGTCATGAGGAGTAACCCCCCACCAAAATTATCTGTCAATACCAGTGGATCTCAGCCACCAGAGAAGAGTTTAGGAGCCGCTGTGGAACAAAAGGCCAGTGCTGGACAGCTGAAGTTAGTTTCTAATGGAGGTTTAGATTTGCTAAGTCACCACCAGCCTGCTGAGGATGGAAGCAATGCCAATGAATCATCTGGTATCAAAATTCCAAATGCGGAAGAAGCTCATGGAAATAATCTTTTACCAATTAGGAAAGACATAGATGAGAAACCAACCTCTTCGACTTCCCTGAATACCCCAGCCAAATCCTTGGGGATGGTTTGTGAACCCTCTTCTGCTGAGATATCAAGTGAAGTATCTGCTCAGCACATTAAAAGTTCTCAAGCACCAATAGGTGAAGATGGATCCTCAGCAAAATCAGAGCCTCCTGAAGAATCTCAAACTGCGGGTGACAATTCTAGTAACCCTAAACCCCCTGACATTCCTCAAATTGTTGATCAGCAAATGGGTTCTAATGGTCCAGAGGAACCTTACTCAACAGCAAGTTCTCATGACACTTCAAATGTGAAGAAAGATGGCCATGAAGTTCTGCAGGAGAATAATGTTGAAAATTTTGAAGCTAGCATCATAAATAGAGAGCAGTCCGGGACTTCTTCCAATGACCTGCATGATGTTGAATGGATTGGCGACCCACATCAGCTGACAGATACGAGGGCATATTACAAATCCTGTCGTGTTGATGGGGTTACATATATAGTTGAAGAGTTTTCTCTTTTTCACTCCAACAACGGGAAACTGATGCCCTATAGGCTTCAGGTGAACAAAAAATTGTTTAATAGAGTATTTAAGTTGATTGTCAAATTCATATGGTTTTCTTACGCACATGAAAATTGCATCCTTTTTCGGAAATAATATGGGGAAGCTTTTATTCTTAATGCAGTCCTTGTACCATGAATATGAAAGTGGATTGAACTGGGCTATTCTTAAGCAGTGTTACTTTCATGAGGACTTGCCCAAGGAAGTTGCCCACCTCTGCCCGTGCTCCCCTGAACAAAATGAGGTACACTTTTCATCTCCTTTTATTTCTCTAATTTCTCCATTTTCCTTGTATGAGATTCTTCATTCATATATGTTCTTGCACACACCTCTAGAAGTTATACTCAGATCTCACGTCAAATTGTCGTTGCCTATTTCTATGTGATTCCTAATGTCGGACCTTACTTAATACTGCACTAGTTGGTATAGAGAGTTTCATATGGACTTCATATTTGTAATTGTTTGTAGGTATATACATCCGATGGCAACATTTGTTTAGCTGTGGGCTTAATTCGAAGCCCATGTGAAGTTCTTCCTGTTGCCAAGTATAAAGAAGAACATGAAAGACGAAAACAATTGGGTCCTGGGGCAGATGATGGAATAAAGCCAACTTTCCTGTGCAAGTACGTCTATTTCCTTGGACAATTCTCTAATCCATTTGTTGCTTTTGAAGACTGATATTAAGCACTTTTCCTTTATCGAACAATGTGTGTTGGTCAATGATTTGTGAGTGATTTCTTCTTAGAGGATGAATGCCGATTTCCCTTCATGATGTTAAAATATGGTTTTGCAGATGGTTTTATACTGAAGCTAACAAAGAATTTGTACCTTTTACTGATGCCGTATGTGAAAGCTTCTCAGTGATGCAGGTAATAGTGGACTAATTAGTCCCCATTTGTTCTAAGGTCTTTGTGGGTCATAGCTTGCATTTGTATTTCAGCCATTTAAAATTGGTTTCTTCTGTTTGTTATAACTGTAAAGAAGCTGTCAGTAATTAGGAAGGATATGGGCCTATTGAAGACACTCTATTGCTATGTTGTTCTTAATCAGTGAAGAATATCCATTCTTTTCTCCATTAAAATGGATGTAGTGTGAGAAATCCCAATTGAAGCTCATGTGGTAGTATGACCTGTAGAACGAGTGTTTGTAGAACTATCGGGCCGTATTCGAAAACATTCTTGCGCCTTGTGTCTTTATTTTTCCTCATGTTTTCATGCCATAACCTTTATATCATTTTTAGTTGGTTCTTTTACAAACATTTGAAGACTGATCAGTTTATTTGCATTGATACACATATAGGGCGACCTGCAACGACAAGGTAATGGATGAATGAAAGTCCATATATTCAAATGTTTTGAAGTAGTAGGTAGCAATACTCCCCGTCTGTTTCTTTCTTCCTTGTGACTGTAATTTAAGGCTGTTTCTTCTTATATAACCCCACATGAGGTTCCCAAGCCCTGTCTCTCTCCCCCTCTTAGGACCCCTTGTCTGTATATTATTGTATCAACAGCACCTGCCCTCTGCTTTCACAATGAAGGAGGTACGTTTGTATTGTAGACGTCTGCCATTTTTCAAATTACAGAGATTTGTAATGTGTATTTTCTTGTTCTTTTCATGATAGTTGAGTGAAGCAAAAGATGGTGAATGCCACTAGTAAAACAATGCTACAAGGTGGTTAGAATGGAGTATTTTCTTATATTGCTTACTATTAAAGGTGGCTAGAATGGAGTATTTTCTTATATTGCTTACTATTAAAGGTGGCTAGAATGGAGTATTTTCTTATATTGCTTTCTATTAAAGGTGGCTAGAATTTACTTTGCTACTACTCTAAATGAAAAATGCTACAAAGTTATCTATCAAACAATGATATGATCCAACCCCTTTTAAACCTAGTGTCCTTCAACTATGCTCTTCATATTTCATTGGGAGAGGTATTCGGTAGGCCGCCTACCCATCAAAACTTTCTTACCAGTTCATTTCTTTATGGGATAATGTATAATGTTGAAGTTATTTCTTTTTAAGTTGTGAAGCTCGGACAAAACAACATTTTGCAGTCATCTGGTTGAAAACTTTAAAAGTTTAAAGACCAAATAGACATAAATTTTTTAAAAGTTCAGGGACTAAATTTGTAATTTTAAAAGTTCAAAGACCAAATAGACTTAAATTTATATTTTTAAAAGTTCAAAGACCAAACAGATACAAATAGTAAAATAGAATTCAAAGATTGAATCTTAGAGTTTTTAGATTACAAGTTGGTGGTAGTTTTTAGATTGATAGTTAAAGAAAGTTATTTGGATATTTTTTTGGATATTTTTATCCCATCATTTTAGTATGAATATGAAGGATCGTCTATGGACTCCCAAGTCCAAAAACGTTATTTTTACGTCAAACTTCATCTACTAAACAACTCAAAGGTTGCACTCCCATCCCTATTTCTCAAAACACACAAAATCCGAACTTAACTAACTTGAGTTAATAGTCAATTAAATCCTCCGTACTTCGTGTACTATATGTCTAAATTCATCATTTTAGTCAAATACCTATCTCGTGAAAATTTAAATTTCTAATCTTTTAAATATGATATATACCTTAACCATTTGAACCTGTTCATGTTAGCTCTCAAACGTCCGAGTTGGACAGTCCCAAAATGGGAACAGACAGACTATTTTCCTTGTAACTTGGCAACGAAGCCAAAATATAATTTGCAACGATATTGCTAAAGCTGTCACCAATGTCCAAAAACGTTTGTAGAAGTTAAAAAAGAAGGAAAACATTATACAGAAACATATCCCTAATCCCATTAGAAAACAAACTACTGAGCTCTTCATTTGGCATACAAAATCAAGAGAATCAAACAACAAGACATTATCCAGTTTGAATGTCCCTTTGCATACTTACGTTAGAGAATTTTCCCTTCAAATCATTGGCCAAATCTTCCCTGCCTTGAACCTGAAGCTTCTTCAAAACTCTCATATACACTGGAAAGTTCGGTCTTAGACCTGCATCTATCAACTCACAAAGAACCTTTTGAGCATCAACTAAGTTTCCTCGCTTCTCATGAAGTGTTGCAAGCAAGCTATATGTTGCATTTTGTGCCATCCCATGTTTCAAGCTTGAATCGATGGTATACCGATACGCCTCCTCGTATCTCTGTGAATTGAAGTAGCTTTTCACGAAGGCAGCGTGCGTCGAAAGGCGAGGCTCGAGACCCCTTGACACCATCATGTCAAGAAAGTTGAGGGCTGATTCTATATTACCAATTTCACAGAGATGACAGATAATTACTTCAAATGTCAATGAGTTTGGAGGGCAATCTCGTTCAAGCATTTCTTCAAACAGGTTCTGAGCTTCAGAAAGTTTGTCATTCTTGCACAAACTACTGAGCAGATAATTGAGAATGCCCACATCTGGGCTACACCCTGCTTGCCTCATCTCATCAAGTGTACATCTAGCTCCTTCAAAATCGTTTCGGCGACATTGTTCCCGAACGATGATATTATAGAAAGATGTTCTTCTCTCGGTTATCTCAATTACAAACTTCGCCATTCCGAAAGAACCAAGAGAACAGAACATCTCAATCAATGCCATGACCCCGGAAATTCGACAGGATCCTCCAACTTCATTCAACAACTTGACCAGTCTTTCAACACAAATCTTAATTGAATCTTCATCTGATAGATGAACATGTAAAAACTCAAATGCTTTGTGGTTTAGACCAACTCCTTTCTGCCTGAATTCGTTCAGAACAGGAAGAATCCCCTCATAATCATCTAATCTACCAAAATTATCAATAAGTAGACTATAAATATCAGAATTACAAGGAAATTTACAGGACTGAACTCTAACCCAGTTGAAAAAACGAAAGGCAGAAACCTTATGATTATTCAGCACCCGAAAAATCTGAGCAACTAAAGCGTTAGTGAAACTTACATTCAACGAATCCAACTTGGACTCCAAATCCTCCTGATTTGCCCGAATGATATTTATAATATCCCAAAATTGATTGGACGTCACATTCGGTTTAAACACATTCAATTCACCAGTTCCAAACTGGGGCTTCTCAAACGAATCGGAGGAAAAAGAACGGCGGCAGCTTCTGTAGTGGGGACGAAACAATCCAAGATTCAAATCCTTGGTTACGCCATTGCATCTCTCAAACAAACACAATGAAGGCACAGATTGGGAAGTTGAATTGCAGAGTAAGGGAGAACGAGCAGCAGAATCGGATGTCGGTGCGGTATAAAATCGAATAAAACGCCCGAAATGCTTGGAAGGCGAGGACGAGGGAAATGGTGAATGAGGAGCAAATGAGTAAATAGAGTAGAAGTAAGGGTGGGAGAAATCACGGAGGTTTCGAGAAAGAGAAGTAATCCCCATGGATTTTTTTACCTAAGCTGTCCTGTTAACGGACGATATGAATGAAGAATCCGGCGACAGCATAGGGTTCCGGCGGTGTCACCGGCAACGAGGAACAGGATCTGTAACACCTATAGCGACGAAGAAGGAGAGAGAGGGACGGAGGTGGGAAGGATGGAGGAGGGTTTTTCAGGTTCCCATGTTATTCACATCCCTAATTAAAAATACTTAATAATAATAATTTGGTTAAATTATAAACCTTTATATATATATTTATAGTTTTGATAAAACTAGAATTTGATTTATAGTTCATCTATGGCTTTATCAAATTATATAATTTTTTTTTCAAGTAATAGAGATAAATTTATTATTTATTTATCTTTATAAATAATTGACTCTTAAATTTTATTTAGTGGTTTCAATTTTAACTTTTTTTTTTTTCTCTCTTATGCATTCAATTTAAGGATAGTATTGATGTGGTAGCGGAAGCAGAAACAATATGGATCGCACTTACACACCCACAAACAGAAATTAAACAAAGAGACACAAAAGTTTACGTGGTTTGGAGAGAAGAAATTCTCCTACATCACTGACGGCAACTAATCACAATAATCAAAGTGTTTACAAGGTGTCTTACACTCTTCCGCTACAAAAGTCTCACTCAACAAAGTTCCTTCTAAATGTCATTAAGTAAATACAAAATGACACCCAATTTTAATGTCTCTCAACCATGGTAAGATAATCCTTTATATAGACATAAAAACATTAAGGTTCTTAATGTTCATATATGAATCATCTTGATTCATGTATCAAGGGAGATGAACCAAATAAATTCCAATAGGTGCATGCATGGGAGAGGGAAATGTACAAAAAAATGTTCATGAATCCAGAAGATTTATGAACCTATTCTTCATGACAACTTACAACAATCTTCACTTTATCATTATCAGAAGATCCCCACGAAGATAACCGGTTTGGCTGTCATCAAGTCAACAAGCTATTTTTTCTATCCAACATTGATTAGATCCAAGCAATGTTAAATCTTTTCACGAGCAACCACCTTTGTCAATATATCCGTAGGGTTATTAACAATTCCATTTTTCAATAAACGAATGTCTCCTTCATTGATAATTTCTCGAACAAAAAGAAATTAGACATCAATATGCTTAGAACGAAAATGATGGACTTGGTTCTTTGACAAACAAATAGCACTCTGGCAATAACAAAACACATCTACATGTTTTTTTAGCAATACCCAAATCATTAACTAAACTATACCTCCAAATAACTTCTTTAAAAGCTTTAGTGACTGCCACATACTCTACTTCAGTGGTAAATAATGCAATGGTAGACTACAATGTTGAACGCCAACAAACAGGTCCACCAGTCATAGTGAATAGATAACTAGTAGTGGATCGTTGCTTACCCAAATCACTAGTATAGTGAGTATCCACATAGCAAACTATGAGGTTGTCAAGATTAAACATCTCTTGTCTTTCAAACTTGATACTAACATTAATAGTACCAACGTACCTAAGAATCTATTTGACCGTCTGCCCATGCTCTTTGCCAGGATTATGCATATAACGGCTCACCATGCTTACCACGTGTGAACGATCAGGCTGAGTACACACCATAGCATACATCAAAGCACCAACAACATTTGTACAAGGATTCTCCATATGCCTTTTGTACTTGGACACATGGAAACACTAAGCTTGAAATAAGGAGCAAGTGGCCGGTTTAGTTGAATTATTCAACCAAATTTTGTCAACACCACTTTACACATACATATTGAGATTGAGTCAACCAAACTATACCTCTTCTTGCATCTTGCTCTATCTCAATTTCAAGTATTTTCTTTGCTTTGTCTAAATCTTTCATTTCAAATGGTGTAATAACTAGCTGGCATTAAATGAGGAAAAGCCAGTACCAATAAAAGGAAAAAAAAAATATACATATATATATGAAATATGAAAAGACAAGAATATGAAGGGGCAGAAAAATGAAAAGGCAGTGGGTAGGTCTGCCATCTACCCAAAATCTTCTCTTTAAATCTTGTTGGTAAGAGGCAATAAATCCGAGGGAGGGAGTTGAACCAAGCTGTTTTTGAAATAAGAAGAAAAAAAGAAAAGGGAACATTGGTAAGAGTTGAAGAAGCAGAAGAAGGAAAGGAAAGTCGCTGGAAGGAAAGAGCTGATCGTTGGATTTAACAAACCGTTGGACCCGACCCGACCCAATTAGCAAATTCTAATCCACTACCCAAAACTAGACTCGAAGGTATGTATGACCCTTGGTTCAGAGGCCAATGCTCGCAAATTTGAACTATTTTTAACCCGAATCCTACTCAACTTCTATAGTTTTGATATATTTTCTCAATGTAGGACCTAATTGTAGATCTTTGAACGAATTGGAAATTTGTTGAAGCCCCGAAACAAGTTTGAAAAGTCTACAACAAGTAAGTAACCGCATGGAGCAAGTTCTAAGAAATGCTTGTAGGAGTCGGTTTGGAGTATGGGCAAATGATCTAGTATTATACTTGTACGATGTGAGCCTTGATACTTTGTGCTGTTTTGTTTTGGGGTGTGGATAGCCCCTTTATTGCCCATGTGTGAATTGGACTATTTTGCTATGTGCTAGATAGCGTGAATTATGAATTTCGTAGATTATGGGTTATTGTCTTTTAGTTGTCACCTATTGGAGATATGGGTAGCCTTAGTAAGTATCATACTGTAGTACCACATCAGGGGTGCCTAGTGGGGAGACCCATGGCCTTTTACTAATCTAAACCCAACTGGGGTGTAAGACAGGTAGTTTATTGACCCAGCCCGGCGGGGCGTAGTGACAGGTAGTTACTGATTCTTAGGAACAGGTAGTTAAGGCCAGACACCACAAGGAGAAAATCCACTGATTTAAACTCAGTAGATAGTTAGGTATAGAAGAAAATCCATATCAATGAGAATCCATGGGGTCTTCTTTTGAGACTATAGTAGTCCTTGCTAGAGATAGATTCGAGCATATAGCCAAAGTGTCCGTGAATAGGATTAAGTCCGATAAGAGCCTATAGGTAGATTGCTTACTGAGTATTTTTATACTCATCCCATGTTGTTGCTATTTTTCAGGTGCTAAGTAGACCAATGTTGGTGGCGGGAATGTGTGGAGCCGTGCGGCTACAGTGGAGACCCTTAGATCGAGTCCTCTTTGTCCATGTCATTTTAATGCCATTTTGATGTTTATTTTGGGAAAACTTGTGCTATTTTGTAACTGTTTTTCTTTTGTTGTGTTTCCGCGGATCTCGTTATGTTTTGGAACTATTTGGATTTTTAATGCTTATCAGATAACATTAATTTTATTGTGTCTCCCGTTTTATCAAATGAAAATGTTGTAAGACTTTTTATCTTAGAGTCCACGTAGCGATTCGTGATTCGATGCGTCGGAGAACGATCGTTACAGTTTAGGAAGTTGATCTTTGAGCTTATCATTCTCTACCTGCCTCTTGAAAACAATTAACATGTCATCAACATAAAAGAGCAAATAGATAAACGATCTATCATAAAGGCACAAAAAAATACACATAATTATCAAATTGACTGAAGGTACTTATGCTCTACCATGAAGGGATCAAACTTCTTATATCATTGGCAATGAGATTGCTTCGGCCCATACAAGGATTTCTTCAATCTGCATACCAAATGTTGTTGCCCAATTACGCAAAAACCAAATGGTTGTGTCATATATATTTGTTTTTCCAAATCTCCATACAAGAAAACAATTTTTACCTCGAGTTGTGCAAGCTCAAGATTAAATTGAGCAATAAAAGTCAACAAAATATGAATGGAAGAATGCTTTACCAAAAGTGAGAAAATCTGATTGTAATCAATTCCTTCCTTTTGCGCATAGCTTTTAGTTACAAGTCGAGTCTTATAACGTATGCTAGAAGTTTTTTTTTTTTTTCTTCATAGACCCATTTACTACGAATTTCCCTCCTAAAGTTGTACTAAGTACTAAGTCCTAAGTTTGATTTATCTGCAATGACTCTAACTCCTCATTCATAGCCTCTCGCAATGCAAGTCATCTGGATTCTGAATAGCATCTTTATAGTTGTTGGGATTGTAGTGGTTAGCAGGTGGTTCTAATGGCTGAATGACGGTTATGAATTGGATGAAAGAGTGAGAATATTGTAGTAATTAGTGAAACACCTTGAGCTCCATACTCATGAACTTTGGCACATTTTTCACCTAAGATGCAAGTTTCAAGGGCTAGATTTTTTAGGGTTTTTGTATCCTTGACAATGAGCATGACTTTTCTTGAGATAGATTTGTGAATTAAGACCTCAAATGTGGGAACCAAGAAGATGAGATCTTGGATAAAATTGAGGCTTTCACTAGGAAAATTACCCCACTAAAGAGGGAGTTAGGTCATGTTTTTCGTCTATATACCTTTAAGGAGGAGAAATTAAACAACATTCATGAAGAATTGGAGGGCTAATACTAAGTGGTTTGCTAATTCTCATTCGAGCCCAAGAAGTCAACTTTATCACAATTAGCTTGATCTTAATATTAGGAACAAAAGCCATGAATGGATCGAGAGATGAGAACGCTTGGATCGAGTTTGAATTAATCTACTTTGAAAACGATATAGAGTTCGGTTCGATATTGTAAAACTTAAAATTTTGCTTACACACTCAATGTCTTTGGCTAATACTTGATTCTACAATTTTGTGGGGAGGAGTACTAGTTTCATCAAGGACTCATAGTCTGAAGAACCTTTGGAAGGTGGTTTCCCAATTCAAATTAAGTCGGAGAGCTTTGATGCCTCAAATTCTTCCTCAGATTCCAAATGATTTTTTTTTTTTTTTTTTTTTTTTTTTTTTTTTTTTTTTTTTTTTTTTTTTTTT